CTTTCAACAATAAAGATACATTTTTTAAAAATCCTCTGTTCCGAAGCCAACAGTCATTTTACAGTTCAGGCTGCTTTCCCTGATTATGGGTATAATTCACCCTTTCCATACTTATTCCAATTGAGTGAATTACTAATAATGTATACTCTTTTCTCCAGTTAGAGAATGTTCTTATTCATTAATAATAATGACATATTGCTTCTTTGCAGCCTGCTACGTGCCAGAACTTTTCAACATGCTTCACATTCATTCTGCTACTCCCAATTGTAGAAAGTTAAATGAGGGCTGTAACGTGGTCAGTGCACTCACAAGTACGATCGACTCTTAATGAGCGCTTAATAATTGCTCTCTTCTGCGCTGCACCCCGCTTCCCACATGCCATGCTTAGTTCTGCCCTTTTGCCTTTGTACATCTCTCTTCCTAGAATATTTTTTCCTTTTGGTGTATCCAGTTCATATTCACTATCCAAACCCTACCTTGACTCATTCGGTTCTCATGGATCTTTCCTATTGTCAGAATACTGATGTATTTATAAGGAGTTTGGCATGGTTTGCCTTGTAACTCCCTTTTGTCTTTCACTTTTTCCAAAAATTTTAACAGTGCTTTATAGGCATTAAATACTTGTTGAATGAATACTTCTTTCCTTCTCAAGTAGACATTAACTTTCTGCAAGGGTTAGCCCAGTCCTTAATTTCTTCTCATCCCCACAGATCTCAGCAATGTGCTTGGCACATATGTAAATACCTACTCATCGGATGTGGGGGAGTCCAAGCTGTCTGTCGTTTGGAACTTTCATGGGAAAATTCTTTTCTAATACCACGCACATAGATACACTTCAACGAAAAGGGGCAAAAAAAGATTCAGAGGTAGAAGTCTGATAAGTAGGTAAATTCAGAATGAGATTCATTATCTGTGTTTTTTTGGCAATATTGAAAGCTGTAAATTTTGAGCACTTATTGTATGTAAAACACTGAGTTGAGTGTTTTACATTCATCATCTTAGTTCTTAGAACCAAATGGTTGGGTGAATGATGCAGCGGATGCTCAGAAGGGTTCCAGAGCCGCTTGTAAGCAACAGAACCCCGTTTAAACCCAGGTCATTTTTATTCTAAACACGTGTCTTTAAGCGCTATACTGTATATCATCCTATTCAGCCTCATTGCTGGAGTTTTCAGCCCTTGTGAAATATCTCCCTGTTGAAGTTCACTAACTTTAAAGACATTAGATTATGCTTGTTTCCAGCATAAACATTCAGTAAGTGTTAGCCTTTATTTTTGCTGTTTTCCAATTTACACTGGACTGTTCATGATGTTGTCATTTCCCCTTATGCGAACTTCCCTTTAAAGGCAGAATCAGCGATTTAGTATGTCTGCGAACTCTGGATATGCATGCGTGTGTTTATACGTGTTTGGGCTTCCATGAAGGCGCCGAGGATTTAGAGAGTGAGAATGAAGAGTGAGCTGCTTTGCTACTGTTTCCAATCAGCTCGCTCGTCAGAGGCCTGCAGTGAATCTGCAGGGATGCCTGCGTGAGCTCAGGGAGGGAAGCAGGTGATGGATGGGTCCAGACCCTCAGTGTCTCAGAAAGAATCTTGAATATTGATCTATTTTGTGTGTTTTCACAGCACCGGATTTTAGGCTGTGTTTTTAAGATCTCTCATCTCATTTTTCTGCAAATTGGAGAATGACAGAACCGTGGAAGGCATTAACACTCTAGTTTTTATTTTTGTGTATACTATCTCAGTGCATTTAGGTTCTGGAATTTAAGAAGTAAGACTTGACTAAAGAATAACCAGTTTAGTGAAAATAAGTAAAACCCTTTTGTAAGTAAAACCCTTTTGTGGGAAGTTAAAATTTTTTATATAATTTCAGACATACAGAAAAGTTATAAGAATAATATAAGGCACTCCTGTATACTCTTTAACCTATTTTAAAGTAGAGTAATATATTTTTAAAATGCTTTTTATTTTAATCTTAGCATTTTCTAATTATACTAGAGGCCCGGTGTACGAGATTCGTGCACTCTGTGGCGGGAGTTGGGGAGTGTCCCTCAGCCTGGCCTGCACCCTCTCCCAGTCCAGGAGCCCTTGGGGGATGTCCCATTAATGGGGAGCAGGCCTAAGCTGGCAGTCAGGCATCCTTAGCGCTGCCGTGGAGGCGGGAGAGGCTCCCACCACTGCCACTGCGCTCACCAGCCGTGAGCCTGGCTCAGGGCTTCTGGCTGAGCTGTGCTCCCCCAATGGGAGTGCACTGACCACCTGGGGGCAGCTCCTGCATTGAGTGTCTGCCCCCTAGTGGTCAGTGTGTGTCATAGCAACCGGTCGTTCTGCTATTCGGTCTATTAGCCTTTCATATTAGCCTTTTATTATATAGGATAATAGATCATGTTGTCATCACAGTGGTAGAAAAAGATTTTGTTAATTAGAACTGCTCCCCTGTCGCCAGGTTTCATCCTATATAATAAAAGCCTAATATGCTAAGTGTCTGGTTGGTCATTCAACCAATCAAAGTGTAATATGCTAATGATATGCTAAGGCTGCTCAACCGCTTGCTATGACATGCACTGACCACCAGGGGACAGACAATCGACTGGTCGACCAGTCGATATGACGTGCACTGACTACCAGGGGCAGACGCTCCGACTGGTAGGTTAGCTTGCTGCTGGGGTTCGGCCGATCAGGACTGAGCAAGACAGGCCAGACACATCCTGGAGCCATCCCATGGTCCCTCCACAGTTGGCCAACCTTCCGCATCCCTCCCCGGCCCTGATCGTGCACCAGTGGGGTCGCTCGGCCTAACCTGTGCCCTCTTGCAATCTGGGCTGAGGCACCCCACCTTCCTGAGTGCATGAATTTTGTGCACCGGGCCTCTAGTTGAGATATAAATGACATATAACACTATGTAAACTCAAGATGTACATGTTGGTTTGATACATTTTATTTTGCAAAATGATTGCCACCATGGCCATAGCTAACACCTCCACCCTGTACATAATTACCATTTTTTTCTGTGGTGAGACATATAAGATTCTATGTTTAATTTTAATGCTTCCTAAAGGGTTTTTTAAATGGAGATTTCCTTCCAGCATAATGTTATTGTCAGAAATGTTTGTCTCCTTGCATTCAGTCCCTGGCCCCCATACTTTGAACCCTCTCACAATATTCTTACAGATCAATATTAAAAGATTTATGTTTTAAAGTTTTAGGGGAATCCCAATTTGGAGTTTGAGGCTAAAATACTGTTCATTGAAAATAAATCAGATACTATTTTAGTAGGGTTGGAAATATGAGAACATTCCAGCAAATCCCAAGTGTAAGAATTATAATGAAATAGGAAAGAAAAGTGAGCCTTATTTTATTTTGCAGTTGTAGAATTATAATATTCTAGTGGCAAAATGGAAGAGCTTTTATACGGTTCAGTTTTAAAATGATGTTTGAACTGACTGCATTAAAACAGTATAATTAAAAGTATTTGTAAATTTACTATCCAATATGCTGTTTCTTAGTTATGTCTTAGAATAAGAAAGTTAAATATCTAAGATTTTACCACATGTACTTGTTTTCACATTATTTACATTATGTTAGAACCAAATGATATAATTTGTGAGAACAACTTAATTATAAAGTAGAAAAATACTACAACATGAGAGGTATTTTTATTTCATTTATAGACGTGAACAAGAGAAAAAAAGCTGTTTATTTAAATAAGGTGAATAAATGAGCCATCTTTTATCAATATTTGCATGAAATTATACATAATTTAATTAATTTGCATTTTTAATTTCAGATTCAAAACGCTAATGATGTATTAATTGCGCCACTTGAGAAATTTCGAAAAGAACAGATAGGCGCAGCAAAAGTAAGTGTTCCATTTTATTATTCTTCAGATATTCTCCTAGTAATTAAAGATGACATAATTTCAGATGTTAACATTTTGATATTAGAATGACCTTTTAAAAAATTCTGTACGTCATTTTTAACTTTTGCACTGAGCCTATTACAAAGACCGACATTTCTTTAAACATAAAAGATATTCTTCTTCTACTGAATAGAGAAAAAGTCAGCATCAGTGAGTTCCTTCCATCCCCACAATTGGAGGGAACTATTTTAAAAGGGGTGAAATTATGGTAAAATTATGAGCTTTGCTCCTAACTACTATAAAATAAAAATTAGGCAGAAGGTATATTGAAAATTCAGGCAGTTATTATAAAAGAACTTTTATTACTTACTAGAGGCCAGATGCACGAAATTCATGCAAGAGTAGGCCTTCCTTCCCCCGGCTGCCGGCACCGGCTTCCCTCTGGCACCCAGGACCCAGGCTTCCCTCGAAGCCCTGGTTCGTCCGGAAGGTCGTCTGGAAGGACGTCCGGTCTAATTAGCATATTATGCTTTTATTATTATAAATTGTATTTTTTCATTATTAAAGAAAACGTGTTTGTGGAAAAACCTTCAACATGTTTGTCAAGCCTTTGCAATGATGTTCAGTTGATTATGTACCAATTAAAATTTCCCTGAGCCTAATATTTTTTGAAATTTACTTGCACCCTTTTTCTTAGACCTGCATTTTAACTACCTGCACAGCATTATGTAAGGACATAAACTTTAGGGTTTCCAAAACAGAATTCATCACTTCACCCATTCTTTCTCAACATGTTTTGGCTTTCTATTTAGTCAGTGACATAGCCCTTCCCCATTCTAGCAGTACTATCCATTCTAATGCAGAATTATTTTTCCTTCTTTCCACCTTCTCTTCTGTCTGAAATATTGAAATAGCTTACTAGCTGGTCTCCACACGCACATCCTAATCTGTTATCTACCTTCCTGTCTGTCATTCTTGGATAGTGACACCTTCAGTGGATCTCTTTGAGAGACAGTTTGCTCCTGATAAGGAACGAACTCTACACTGTGCCCATCTGCTGCATTCATTATACCTCCTTCCTTGTGCACAGTTGCCTGCTCACCAGTCTCTGTCCATGGATTTGCCCAACCTTCCTCTCTCCCCGGAACATTTCTTCCCCTTCCCTTGTTGAGGTCTTGCTAACTCTCCATGGCTGATCACCCAGCACCAGAAAGAAGCCTCCCATGTATAGGCCTCATTCATTCCTCTCCCAGAATTGATTTTCCCCCTCATAGAATCCAGTAGTCCTTATGCTCATTTCCTGTACAAAACTATCACAGTCCACCCTGAATTCGTTTTACATACATTTCTTCACTAATTATGAAAAATTATCAAGTCGAGGACTAAGCCGGAACTATTTTTGTGTTAATTAATGCAGCAAATGTTTATCAATGTCCTGGCTGGCCTCCTTGTGGCAATCCTGGTGTTTGAGATGAAGGGATGCAACTATAAACAAGACAGGCATGCTCCCTGCACTTGTGTCCCTAATTATCTTTTGTGGAAAACAGACACCAAAGTAATAGCAAAGGCACTGATGCAGAAGTGCAGGGTGCTTCCCGAGAGTGTAATGAATGGGACTGACCTTGTCCTGAGAACCAGGCCGGGCTCTCTGGAGGAGGGATTGGTTAAGCAGGGGAATAAAGGATGAGAAAGAAATAGCCAGCTATGGGCATACAGGGGTGGGAAGGGGACAACCTCCCATAGCTTCCTGAAGAAGGAAGAAGGTGGGGATGAATCGAGGCCTTGAAGGAGGAGAAAGGCTGGCATTTTAAAGGAAAACGATCCAGTGTGTTTGGAATATAGAGGACCATGGGAAGAACGGAGGACATGTGCATTTTTAAATATTACTCTAGTTGCATGTCATGCACGGATTGGAGGAGGCGAGACTGCTTTTGTGAAAACCAGTTTGGGGGCTATAGGGCAGTGGCTTTAGATTCAGAAGGTGGTAGTAGCGGTGGAGACAAGGGGCGTATTTCAGAGGTAAAATGGAAAGGGGTAGGAAATGGGTCATATCGTTAGAAGTGAGGAACAGGAGGTTTCAGAGGTAACTCCCAGGGGGCTGGGTTGCATACTCCAGTGGTTTTGAAGCTACTTACTGAGATAGGCAACCCTTATGTTTGGATGGCAGGATGGTGATTTTGGCTTTTAGACATAATGCATTCGAGGTTCCACTGAGACTTCCACGTGGAGACGTTGAGTTGTCAGGTGTGTAATCGGATCTGAATTAGAAATACACCTTTGGGAGTTATTGTTCTCTAGGTGGTAATTAAAATCATGGGGGGCGGGTAGAATAGATCCCACTGGGAGAGAACAGAGCGAGAAGAGGACCTACATTCTGTATAATCTGAAAACTCTCAACATTAATGTTTGGGGAGAGAAAAACTCTACGGTGAAAGGTAGGGGCAGAAGAAGGAAGAAAATTACAAGAATATGGTATTCCAGATCAAGGAAGAGTCTTTTCAGGAATAAAAATAGCTGATCTTTATTGACATTTACATTGTAGTGATTTTCACTGAACTATTACGTCTGTGACCTAATTAAATCCTCAAAGCAACCTGTGTCTTACACCGGTTTTATCATGAGGACAATGATGAGTGAGACTGTGGAGCTAAAATCAAGCCTTTTTACTTCACAGCCTTGATTTACAATATTTCACTTCATTAATTTTTCTAAAACTTTATGAAAGAGCTTTGTGAAAAATCCCTTTTACAGTGCAGGATATTCCAAGTTTTCTGGCCCACCTAAAATAGTAAATTTCATTTGTGTATGGATTATTCTTTTTGTTGTTGCTGCTGTTTTTGTTGATCCTCACCCGAGGATATTTTTCCTGAGGATATTTGCCTCAGGATGGCTTTCCATTGTTTTTTAGAGAGAGTGGAAGGGAGAGGGAGAGACAGAGAAACATCAATGTGAGAGAGACACAATAATTGGTTGCCTCCTGCACACACCCCGACCAGGGCCAGGGAACCTGCAACCAAAGTATGTACCCTAGACCAGGATCAAACCCAGGACCCTTCAGTCCACAGGCCAATGCTCTATCCACTGATTCAAACCAGCTAGGGCTGGATTATTCTTATATGAAGGTTTAGATTAGCTCTAGTTGTAGTTGAATGAGCAATTACACCCATTTTTAAAACATCTCACATGCTGGAGAGACCAACCGAGAACACACAATAGTATACTATGCCTTTGTCCACTCCTTAGAAGGTTAAACCTGTGGTTAAATGAGTTCAAATGAAATCTTGAGCATAAAGATTATTGTACTTGGTCCTTTGGTGATGGTGATTCTGTGTATTTTATCTGCCTATGCTCTTAATGCTAAATTGCTTCTAAGCTGCTAAGTAGTTGTTTTTTAGTAAAGGGAATAAAGAACAGGCATTTTCTTCTGACATATACGTTCGAGTCCTTTTCTTTTCTTTTGCTTTTGCAAAAACATTGTGGTAGAAGTAGAAATCCTTGAAGAAAAAATTCTTTTTTATATTGCTTTACTCCCTGTTTTACTTAGGTATTTTCTTACTTGGTAAATAAAGCTAATTCTACAAATGACACTCCGCTGCTTTCCACAGTCTTTAGAGTAGAGGTTTCCACAGCGTGCTCAGGCCCACGAGCCAGCTGGAAGGCAAGAGTGTCTATTAAGTTATTAAGTGTAGAATCTTCCACTGCAGTCAGCAACCTCCTTCGCTTGGTCCAAGTGGAAAACGCTGAGTCAAAGTGGCCTTCTCCTCACAACCAGATGATCCTATTTAACTGGAGTGGATCAAGTCCATGGACCACAAACGTTTCCTTTGTAGTGTGTTCTATGGATCTTTGAGACACCTGATACTTTGCTGTGGAGGCCCTGAGTGAGTTCCAGTTGAGGGGAAAAGGCACCAGGCATCTGTAAAAGGCATTAGAAAAGGTTAATGATGGGGTCGTGGAACTCAAGGACAGAGGCGATGGGGCCTGCTTTGTGAATAGCTAAAGATTAGAAGAATTATCTATAAACAGTTGTCAAGAATGTATTTGTTTAATGGTTCTGAGTCTAATGGTATTCGCAGAATAGGACTGTATTGCAGGCCTGGCCACTACATATGTCAGAGTATGGGATGGAATGTTCTGTTTCTTTAATTTGGCTTCTGATACACTGCTGATCTGAATTCTAGAAATGAGTGGAAGTGGAAGTGGAAGTGGGTATTCAAAGCTATTAATGCCAACTAGAATTTTCACAATATGAATATAGCGAGAGCAGCATTATAATAGAGCAGGATGAATTATTTGTTCCCCCACTTTTTGTATAAATTGACAGCTATATTTCATTGATTATATGGGAATTCTCCTTGCTCCCAGAGAGGATCAATTGTAAGTCATATCTGCATTTTCTACACTAGTTTCATCAAAAATTAACTCTTACCAATCAAAGACAAATCCATTATAGGTGTGTGTGTGTAAACATGTATATAGAGAGTTTCTCAAAAATGTATACATACACTTTTAATAATTATAAAGGTAGTGTTTATTAAAATGCATTTCAGCCCTAGCCAGTTTGGCTGAGTGATTAGAGCGTCGGCCGGCAGACTGAAGGGTCATGGGTTTGATTCTAGTCAAGGGCACATACTTCAGTTGCAGGCTTGATCCTGGATCCTGGGGGAGGCAACCAATTCATGTGTCTCTCTCATGTCCATGTTTATATCTCTGTCTCTACCCCTCCCTTTCATTCTCTCTAAAAATCAATGGAATAAATATTCTCAAGTGAAGATTAACAACAACAACAAGAAATGCATTTCATGTTCAAAACCAAGCTATCAGCTATTAAAGTATGTATACATTTTTTGGGGACACCCTGTACATACCAAACTATTAGATATTTTAAGGGATGGAACTGACTTTCAGGAGACCAAGTGCTCATGTTCCATATATACACAGACTGGGCATGTTGGTGGCACAGTGAGGGCTAGAACGTAATTCCTCAGACCAGTGTCAAC